CAAATAAAAAAGGCTAACTACTAAAAAGATTTCTTGCAGTGGGGCAAAAAAGAAAATGAAAAAGAGGCAATAACTGTTGTAACGGTAACTTAACCGAATTCTACCGCGCAAACGTTTGCGAATGAAGCTTCAAAACTATGCGTTTCAGACAATTACAGAGCGCCATTTCATGCCCATTTCGAGCTCGAAAACTATCTTCATCATCCATAAATGTCCAGATTAAACAGTGCAGTAACTGCAATTTATCCAAACCCGTCAGGAAAAAGTTCACCAAAAAGCAAAAGGCTGAGCACAGAGTTAATTCAGACTCGGACGTTGTCAAAAGCAACATTGCCATCACCAACTACATGCGCAATGGCCAATTCGATGCCGCATTGCAGCTTTTCAATTCCATGGCACGAAAGACCTCGGTCACCTGGAACACTATGATTTCAGGGTACCTGTCGAATGACCAATTTGAGCTTGCCAAGAAAGTGTTTGATAAGATGCCGCAGAGAGACCTAGTCTCCTGGAATGTTATGATTAGCGGGTACATCAAGAATAAAAATCTTGGGGCTGCGAAAATGTTGTTTGATCAAATGCCTGAAAGAGATGTGGTGTCATGGAATGCGATATTATCAGGGTATGCGCAGAATGGATATGTTGATGAGGCAAGGAGGATTTTTTATGAGATGCCAGTGAGGAATGAGATTTCATGGAATGGGATTTTGGCAGCATATGTGCAGAATGGGAGGCTGGAGGAGGCGAGTAGGTTGTTTGAGTCGAAAGGGAGCTGGCCAGTGGTTTCTTGGAATTGCTTGATGGGTGGGTATTTGAAGAAGAGGAGGTATGTGGAGGCGAGGCGTGTTTTTGATACAATGCCAGTGAGGGACAAGGTGTCATGGAATACGATGATTTCTTGTTATGCACAGAACGAGGAAATGCAGGCAGCAAGGAAACTGTTTGATGAGTCACCAGTGCGGGATGTGTTTACATGGACTGCAATGGTATCAGGGTACGTGCAGAACGGTATGTTGGATGAGGCCAGGAGAGTTTTTGATAAGATGCCTGAGAAGAATGCTGTTTCGTGGAATGCAATGATTGCTGGGTATGTCCAATGTAAGAGGGTGGACTTGGCAAGGGAACTATTTGAAGCAATGCCCTGTAGAAATATTAGTTCTTGGAATACTATGATAACGTGCTATGCTCAAAATGGTGATGTTTCACGTGCTCGGAGTTTGTTTGACAGGATGCCTCATCGTGATTGTATATCTTGGGCAGCGATTATTGGAGGTTATGCACAGAATGGTGATAGCGAGGAGGCATTACGTATGTTTGTGGAAATGAAAAGAGACGGGGAGAGGATGAATAGGTCATCATTTACTTGCGTTTTAAGCACGTGTGCTGATATAGCATCTCTGGAGTTGGGGAAGCAAATACATGGACGGGTTGTCAAGGCAGGTTTTGAATCTGGATGTTATGTGGGAAATGCTCTTCTTGCAATGTATTGTAAATGTGGATGCATTGAAGAGGCATATGCTGTGTTTAAGGAAATAGAGGAGAAGGATCTCATCTCTTGGAACACAATGATTAATGGCTATGCAAGGCATGGGTTTGGCTTTGAGGCTCTTCAACTTTTTGAGGCAATGGAGAGAGCTGGCATCAGACCTGATGATGTTACCATGGTAAATTTTGAGCTAACTTTGCATTGCATTATGAGATGCCTGGCTAGTTTACTTGTTCATTAATCTGGAGAGGAAGCTCCACATCAACTGCTTAGCAAATCCTTTGTTATGTTGAGTTTTAATGGCTATGTCACAATTCATCATGCCTTTGGTCCTGACTTTTACTTGGGTGCTTAACATCAAAGGCTTTCTCACTTCTGTTGGAAGATTAAATGGTCATACCCAAAAGGATTATGATTCCTCAACTATTCTGAATTTGTGAATTCTGACGGGTAGGGCTATCACTGTATGACAACTGAACTCCCAAAGTTCATTTGCCCTAAAAGTTCCAGTTTGCCAAATTGTAGAATAACTCCAGATTTTTCACTCAAATATGCATCCTAGGATCCCCCAATAGAACCATAATAAAGTTGGCCCACTTGTTTCCTTGTTCAAAGTTTATGTTTTTTTGTGCATATGTATATCAATCTTGGGGATTTTCCTTTTGACTTGTTCTGCTATGCTCGCGTAGGTTGGTGTTCTGTCGGCTTGTAGTCACACTGGCTTAATAGACACAGGCACAGCCTACTTTGATTCAATGACTCAAGATTATGGCATAATTGCAAATTCAAAGCACTATACCTGCATGATTGATCTCCTGGGTAGAGCAGGACGCTTGGATGATGCTCAAAAGCTTATGAAAGACATGCCTTTTGAAGCAGATGCTGCAACATGGGGTGCTCTCCTGGGGGCAAGCAGAATGCATGGTAATGCTGCTTTGGGAGAAAAGGCAGCCGAAATGATTTTTGCACTTGAACCTTGGAATGCTGGTATGTACGTCCTCCTTTCAAATTTATATGCTTCGTCAGGAAGATGGCCTGATGTTGGTAAAATGAGATTGAAAATGCGGGATACTGGTGTCAAGAAAGTACCAGGGTATAGCTGGGTTGAAGTGCAAAATAAAATTCACACATTCTCAGTTGGTGATTCAACCCATCCAGAAAGTCACAGAATTTATGCATTCTTAGAAGAGTTAGATTTACGGATGAAGCATGAGGGTTATGTCTCTTCCACTAAATTGGTCTTACATGACGTGGAAGAGGAGGAAAAGGAGCATATGCTCAGATATCACAGTGAGAAATTAGCTGTCGCATTTGCAATTCTAAATATTCCAACAGGGAGGCCAATACGTGTGATTAAGAACTTGCGGGTATGTGAGGATTGCCATACTGCTATCAAGTACATATCCAAAATTGTTGGAAGATTGATAATTGTGCGCGATTCTAACCGCTTTCACCACTTCGGCGGTGGTGTGTGCACTTGTGGGGACTACTGGTAGGTGTAAAGATTTCTAAATTAGCACAGACTTGAAAGCCCTATCATCTTCCCTCGGCCTACCGCTGTTCAGACTGGCAGTTTGAATATCAGGGCTCCAGGCATCAATTTTTCAGTACTTTTGGGACAGCAAGCTAGATTGTTGCTTTCCCAATTTGTTAGTTGCATCATCTGTGGTCAAATACTTTTAGTGCTGATTTCTTGTGTGAAGACATATGGAGTGGACTCCTTAATAAGGAGATGATCAGAATGTAGAATCTTGGAACATGGGCCCATGCTCATGATCTCCAGGCTGCAGCAGTGGTCAACTTCATGCTGCTTGGGTGGAGATTTCTTCCAACCGGCTCGACCATGCTCAAACAGAATTGCAGCCTTGTTGGATAATGAGCTGGAAGGGTGAAGGTGAACCGGCATCAGTGTTGCTGGGCACATTGAAACTAAGCATGATTGTTGAATTGGACTCTCAGATTACAAATCTAATTAAAGGAGGAGAATGCTCCATTGATCTTAGATTCCATGTGCACTTTCCTCCCAGGAATGGAGTGTAGGATTGATGATTTTGCATGCATTGATTCTGGGAACATTTTTTGCCTGCATAGGCGCATACTGGTGTGAAGCTGTAACCTCAGCCCCTCATGGTGTACCGAATTTTGGTATGTTAGTTTTTGTTAATATGTGAAATATAGTTTTTGTTAACCACAAGGGGTGAATGGTCTGTTATATGTCATCGTTCTCAATATTTGTCAATTTCCACATTTTTGTCATGCATTTTTGTCATTTTTGTATATTAACTTGGTAAGACACTCGATAAGTTTAAGCCATAAGAAATTACTGTGCGGTAGCGGGTAAGTCTTGAATCCAGTAAATGTACACCTTTATCTATGGAATTGCTAATGAAATTTGAACCCTGTCAAGTACTACTAGACGGGCTATTACACTCTACAAACTCTCGCCAGTAAAAGCAATAGCATCAAGGCATAAGGATCAAAGAAAAGCAGTAGCCTAATACTGGGATAGCAGCTACTAGTAAGGCTTAAAAACATTAATGCCATTGGCTTCCTCGCCATAGACAATCTTGAAGCTGTAGGATCTGAACACCCAGCAAAATGTTATTTCTCAGTTGATTTCCACTTTCATCTTTCCCTTATTTCTAGGATTAAAGACTGCTGCATGCAGCGCCAAAAACTGATTATCTGCAACGGCAATTCTGTTCCTGCAAATTGTAACCACAGATACAATAGGTTACGGTATTTACTTAGCTTCCCCGTAATTCATCATTAAATAACTCTGTTGGCAAAAGGGTGGGTTTTTTACCGCAATGCTTCCTAGCCTTTCCAAACTTAAGTTTTATGACGCTGAAACAGTAGCAAGCATTTTTAGTTTCCCAGAAGTTAGTTTGCTCTTTAGTTTTATGACGCTGAAACAGTACCTGGTTGAATGTCGGCTGCTATGACATTACTTCACATCCAGGTTTCCCTTTAGCATTTAAAGTAGCGTAAGGTTCGTCCTTGGACTTGATAATTCGAGTAAGAAGAGTACCTGAATCTGTTTCTCAAACTTCAATTTTTCTTCTCAACAACTAGCAGTCATTGTTCCTTGATATCCCAGAAGGCATCATTCATAGCTCCTTCGACAGGAGATCAAAATGTTTTGATCAAGTTGGACAAATTTAGAAAAAGAAAATTGACGACAGATCAAAAGACAAGGGCTTGTTTCTGAACTCCCCCCCCCCCAACCCCACCCACACACACACGGGTCCACGGACTTGTAAAGATGAAGTGGGGTTAGGGGTGGACATCAATTCAATCTGAAGATCAATCAAGAAACTTTTAGACACCCATTTTGCCCATAGACCATAGTTAATTGTTCAGACTTTTTCACAATGTGAATAATATATTCATACGAGGAATGTCTTCTAGCAGCAGTGGAAGATCTATTATTTTCAGACAGGATAAAGCCCATGATTTATCGCAAAAAGTGAAATTTAAGAATTAAGACGTAATCAACAATCAACAAAACACATGCCAAAGAACTTTTGCTTAAAAACACCATCCATCCGAATAACGTCTTGTTAATGTTAGGCATTTTACAGTTGCAAACGTAGCAAATACCAACCAAAAAGAGCATGCAGGAGCAGTATTCTGCATAAACTATTTTCAATAGACCTCTCCTTCACACACGCCAATGTGTCTGAAGGAGAAGCCTCACCACTACCAAGTGAAAATTGTATTCTGTATTAGGCACAATTGTTGGCTGAAGAGCAGTATTCAAGGCCTGAAGTTATATCCAGGTAGTTTGATAGCTACTCCCACACGGCCTTTTTTCTTTTTCTGCTCCCAGTTGTTCTCAACCTTGCGCTTTGTCCAACCTTTCGCACAAGTAACTGTGCAACTATCAGGGTTATAACTGATAATCCCAGTCTGCAACAAAGAATAAAGTGAGTGGTCCACTCAAATAGGTGTAAGAAAGGACTGGAGAACATATGAAATGTAATGGCTTAAAATATGAGCTGCTTTTTTCTATACAACCTCTTCCCTGTGTTTATGTGAGCATATTAACTTGATATATGTTCACTTATTCCATCATCCTTGAAGGGTATGATTTTTATTAGAGATACAAGGTGAATTGTTACCAGAATGCTAGCTTGCTGTTGTGACAAATTTCCTGACAATGAGAATATAATACAAACTTTAGTACCATAATTATTAGTTTCCAGAATTAAGTTTTATGTCACATGTATGATTAACGGATAACAGACCTGCATTACTCGACAGTAATTTCCAGAGTTCCAGAGTTCTTTTTAGCATCTACAGTAGCGAAAAGTCTCTCTTTGCTCTTGATAATTTCAGTGAGCTTCCCCGAATCCGATCCTTGAGAGGCAGTTTCGAAGTAGGATAAATTGAAGGAGCATTACTGGTAGAAACTTAATTCGACAAAGCAGAATAGAAGTTTATGACTGTACCAAGGAGCGATTGGATGGCCAGTTGTGCCACCAGCTGTTCCGCCTCTTTCCTGCTTCGACCTACTTGACCAGTATAACTTTTGCCACCAAGAACAAAAGAAGAGACGAATACTGGGTGTGGTGTCCCTTCTGCTAAGGTGGTGTTGTATTCGGGAACTCCAAGGCCAGTCTTGGTTGCATATTCAGACAGTATTAACTTGCAAAACCTTAGGTTCTTAAGAAAAAAACAGGTGAGAGAAGGAAAGCACAAGGTGTCATCTGAAAATGATATATTGCACAATTTCCGTAGACATGACATAAACATAAATTGGTATTTTGAAAAGTGAACGTTCTACAAAAGGTGAATGAAATGCAGCCATGTAAATATTTGATGCACCTGATAAATATGAGGGCCTCCTGTTAGGGTTTTATTGTCTTTAACTATGGTTTCATATGCAAGCTTTGCGACATCTTGCTCAGCTGCTCTTCGATCTGGAAAGGTAAACTTAGATGTGAACTTGGTTTCATCTATGAAGACAGATGATCTGAACTTAGGCGCATGTGGGAACCCTTCATTCTCAATTTTATAAACTGGAAGTGGTAATCCAGATTTTTGGGCATACTGGTGCAACAGCTTCTTGTACATACCATAATCTGCCAGCAGTAAAAACTCTGTCAAACTATAAAGTCTTGCTATGACGTTGAAGCTCACAGTTCATGATGTTAGGTTGATTTACATCCTTCTACAAAGATCATACAGAAATGAATATGAGCTAAATGCGCAAGCAATACAAATGCCATTTTCCATGGCTAGCTTTATTTTTGTAAGCCCTGTATGCAACAATCATGGTTACAAAAATATGTTCGTGGAAACTTATCTAAAATCTTGAGAAGTCAATGGAAAGGAGAAGGAAATGGTAGTAGAGATTAAATAAATGAAGGAGTAATGAGGAAAGCACATGCATAGTGGAGGAGATTAATAGTGGGAACGTGAGAATGCGAACCATGTTCAGGTTTGGATGGTTCCAATGGCAACCCAAGATGATCCTCAGGTTTTGGCTCCTGCACCCAAGAAGTGCAGACAGAACAGATGGGGAATTTGTTAGCCATTTTGCTCCAAGGAAAGAACATGGTTGGGGATGAGAACAGAAACGGCGCTTTATGCTAATGTGTGTCAAGTGCTTTGGTTCTTTTATTCCTTGCTTATCAGGCTAAGATGCTTTTTTGTTCTTTCATGTTTTTTATTTCTTTTATTTTTCTCCTTTTCTTTGCTTCTTTTCCTATTCTTTCAAAGTACATTGTTCAATATATCTTGGTTTCTTTCTAGGAGAATTTTGTGCGTTCTGTTATGTTTCTAGGACATTCACAAGGACGTATCACAGACTGATTTGGGTGGAATAGGAAGTTCTTGTAAAATTACGCCACCTGGTGATCATTTCCTGTAGCATCGGTAGGGTGACTTTTTGCACAAAGTTCAATTCCTTCATTAAAGCATCAAATTGGACGAAGCATCTTAATCGATTCTAAAAAATAAAAGTAAGACAGGACATCATATTTAGCAATGACCTTCCAATTTCAAAAGGTGTCGGCATCTCATATCCTCAAATAATGACTAAGAATTTTTCAATGGCATAAACCGAGTATTCTAAGAAAGAGTACGTTTATTCTTATTCTTTGTAGTTAAAAGTTGTGTCAAATATTCTTGTTTTGCTCTTGCTTGCACTTCAAATTCGTGCTAAGTTCCTTTTGAAGTTTAATTTAAGGGAAGGAAAAAAGAAAAACCAATAGAAAAAACATGTAATTTTTTTTTTTACTAATCAACTGCTAACTATCTTTTTCAAGAACAAATCTTTATTGGGGAAAAACATAAAAACAATACTTGTTGAATAGTTACAACATAACTATTTTAATTAGACACAGTCATATTTGAGTTTAGAAAACTACTGGCTATTACTAGACAGGCTATTACACTCTACAAACTCTATCCAGTAAAAGCAATAGCATCAAGGGAAAAGGATCAAAGAAAAGCAGTAGCCTAATACGTAGACCTGCTCCAATTGACGGCAAGACTTATTCCCACCAGCATTGTTGCCAGTGTGAGTTAACTTTTTCTTCCCTCAATAAAACCGTGGAATCTTTGGTAGAGTAGAGTGTTGTGAAGATCTCATGACCATTAAAATTGGACTCGTGACTGAGATTTCAAGCCATTGGCTGCATTTGACTAAGTTGGGGCTGAAAAAGAAGAAGAAGGGGGAAAAAAAACGAAAGTAGTAGAGAAGTCCATTTCCAGGAGATCGACTTCTGCTGCATTCAGTTTTAAAAACTAAGTATAATTAGCATCATGCGAATTAAATTTTCTAAAAATCGACGTTGGTTTAAAACAGAGAAAAAAAACAGCAATATTCTTGTAATCATGCCAATTATCACCTCTCAATGGATTTATACTCCAATTTCATACTTGAAATCAGGTGATATATTTAGCAGCGTGTACATCTAACAGTCATTTGATCCTTGATATCCCAGAAGGCATCATTCATAGCTCCTTCGACAGCAGATCAAAATGTTTTGATCAAGTTGGACAAATTTAGAAATAGAAAATTGACGACAGATTAAAAGACAAGGGCTTGTTTCTGACACCCCCCCCCCACACAGACACACAGGGGTCCACGGACTTGTAAAGATGAAGTGGGGTTAGGGGTGGACCTCAATTCAATCTGAAGGTCAATCAAGAAACTTTTAGACACCCATTTTGCCCATAGTTAATTGTTCAGACTTTGCCACAATGTGAATCATATATTCATACGAGGAATGTCTTCTAGCAGTGGAAGATCTATTAATTTCAGACAGGATAAAGCCCATGATTTCTTGCAAATAGTGAAATTTAAGAATTAAGACGTAATCAACAATCATCAAAACACATGCCAAAGAACTTTTGCTTTAAAACACTATCCATCGAAATAACGTCTTGTTAATGTTAGGCATTTTACAGTTGCAAACGCGGCAAATACCAACCAAAAAGAGCATGCAGGAGCAGTATTCTGCATAAACTATTTTCAATAGACCTCTCCTTCACATAAGCCAATGTCTCTGAAGGAGAAGCCTCACCACTACCAAGAGAAAATTATATTCTGTTTTAGGCACAATTGTTGGCTGAAGAGCAGTGTTCAAGGCCTGAAGTTATATCCAGGTCGTTTGACAGCTACTCCCACACGGCCTTTTTTCTTTTTCTGCTCCCAGTTGTTCTCAACCTTGCGCTTTGTCCAACCTTTCGCACAAGTAACTGTGCAACGATCAGGGTTATAACTGATAATCCCAGTCTGCAACAAAGAATAAAGTGAGCGGTCCACTCAAATAGGTGTAAGAAAGGACTGGAGAACATATGAAATATAATGGCTTAAAATATGAGCTGCCTTTTTTATACAACCTCTTCCCTGTGTTTATGTGAGCATATTAACTTGATATATGTTCACTTATTCCTTTATCGTTGAAGGGTATGATTTTTATTAGAGACACAAGGTGAATTGTTACCTGAATGCTAGCTTGCTGTTGTGACAAATTTCCTGACAATGAGAATATAATACAAACTTTAGTACCATAATTATTAGTTTCCAAATTAAGTTTTATGTCACACGTATGATTAATGGATTACAGACCTGCATTACTCGACTGATGAACAGAGAGAGTTTTAGTTCCTTGACTTCCAGAGTTCTTTTTAGCACTTAGAGTAGCGAAAAGTCTCTCCTTGCTCTTGATAATTTCAGTGAGCTTCCCTGAATCCGATCCTTGACAGACAGTTTCTAAGTAGGATAAATTGAAGGAGCATTACTGGTAGAAACTTAATTCGACAAAGCAGAATAGAAGTTTATGACTGTACCAAGGAGCGATTGGATGCCAGTCGTGCCACCAGCTGTTCCGCCTCTTTCTTGCTTCGACCTACTTGACCACTATAACTTTTGCCACCAAGAACAAAAGAAGAGATGAATACTGGGCGTGGTGGCCCTTCTGCTAAGGTGGTGTTGTATTCGGGAACTCCAAGGCCAGTCTTGGTTGCATATTCATACAGTATTAACTTGCAAAACCTCAGGTTCTTAAGAAAAAACAGGTGAGAGAAGGAAAGCACAAGGTGTCATCTGAAAATGATATATTGCACAATTTCCATAGACATGACATAAACATAAATTGGTATTTCGAAAAGTGAACGTTCTACAAAAGGTGAATGAAATGCAGCCATGTGAATATTTGATGTACCTGATAAATATGAGGGCCTCCTGTTAGGGTTTTATTGTCTTTAACTATGGTTTCATATGCGAGCTTTGCAACATCTTGCTCAGCTGCTCTTCGATCTGGAAAGGTAAACTTAGATGTGAACTTGGTTTCATCTATGATGACAGATGACCTGAACTTAGGCGCATGTGGGAACCCTTCATTCTCAATGTTATATACCGGAAGTGGTAATCCAGATTTTTGGGCATACTCTTGCAACAGGTTCTTGTACACACCATAATCTGCCAGCAGTAAAAACTCTGTCAAACTATAAAGTCTTGCTATGACGTTGAAGCTCACAGTTCATGATGTTAGGTTGATTTACATCCTTCTACAAAGATCATACAGAAATGAATATGAGCTAAATGCGCAAGCAATAGAAATGCCATTTTCCATGGCTAGCTGTATTTTTGTAAGCCCTGTATGCAACAATCATGGTTACAAAAATATGTTCGTGGAAACTTTTCTAAAATCTTGAGAAGACAACGGAAAGGAGAAGGAAATGATAGTAGAGATTAAATAAATGAAGGAGTAATGAGGCAAGCACATGCATGACGGAGGAGATTAATAGTGGGAACGTGAGAATGCGTACCATGTTCAGGTTTGGATTGTTCCAATGGCAATCCAAGATGATCCTCAGGTTTTGGCTCCTGCACCCTAGAAGTGAAGACAGAACAGCTGGGGAATTTGTTAGCCATTTTGCTCCAAGGAAAGGAGAGATGGTTGGGGATGAGAGGCAGAAATGGTGCTTATGCTAATGTGTGTGTCAAGTGCTTTGGTTCTTTTATTCCTTGCTTATCATACTAAGATGTTTTTTTGTTCTTTGATGTTTTTTGTTTCCTTTATTTTTCTCCTTTTCTTTGCTTCTTTTCTTATTCTTTCAAAGTACATTGTTCAATATATCTAGGTTTCTTTCTAGGAGAATTTTGTGAGTTCTGTTATGTTTCTAGGACATTCACAAGGAGGTATGACAGACTGATTTGGGTGGAATGGAATAGGAAGTTCTTGTAAAATTACGCCACTTGGTGATCATTTCCTGTAGCATTGATGGGGTGAGTTTTTGCACAAAGCTCAATTCCTTCATTAAAGTATCACATTGGATGAGGCATCTTAATTGTTTCTAAAAAATAAAAGCAAGACAGGACATCATATTTACCAATGACCTTCCAATTTCAAAAGGTGTCGGCATCACATATCCTCAAATAATGACTAAGAATTTTTCAATGGCATAAACCAAGTACATCTAAGAAAGAGTACGTTTATTCTAATTCTTTATAGTTAAAAGTTGTGTCAGTTATTCTTGTTTTGCTCTTGCTTGCACTTCAAACTCATGCTAAGTTCCTTTTGAAGTTTAATTTAAGGGAAGGAAAAAAGAAAATGGAAAAACCAATAGAAAAGGCGTGTACTTTTTTTTTTTTAACTAATCAACTGCTGACTATCTTTTTCAAGAACAAATCTTTATTGGTGTTTATTGGGGAAAAACATAAAAACAATACTTGTTGAATAGTTACAACAGAACTATTTTAATTAGACACAGTCATATTTGAGTTTCTAACATGCAAAAAAAAAAAGAGATACTTTGTCGAATTATTAAAACGAGTGAAACCGTAAAATTATAGAAACTCCCTTTTTTTTTTTGTACGAAGAAACTCCGAGTCTCATCCCTTGCCGTGCAAAGCTCTCCATTGATTTGCTATTTTCAGAGGAATCTACTTATTTTTTGCCAAACATTCTACTATATTTTTGAGACCAACAATACAATCCGAGTTATTTGCAAAAACAAACCTACAAGCTACAAGAAAATAAGCACCATCTTGGAATGAGCAAAGGTTTTTGTATTGCAATCTAAGATAGACTCTTGCAAAACTTCTTGTATGGAATCTTTTCACAAGAATGAGCTGGCTTGACTGGACGTTGGTTACACATTAGGCAGAGAGACCATAAGAGAATTAATCAAAGGATTACTGTTGCACATCAAGACCACCAATTTGGCAGAATAAACTAGGGACATCAAGTAAAAGCAGAACGCTATATTTTCCTTTCCTTGAGAAAGTTTGCATTCAACAATATATGAACAAGACCTAGATGCATCTGCATCTCCAGTAAGTAGAAGTAGGAATGTTGACAAACATTTTCTCTTCCTAATACTGACAATAACATCTGTTAGCCTCTACCTCAATAAAACAGTAGATCTTCAACAACGGTTAATGTGAAACTCTGTTGATCCACGCAGTTTGTGGGGGAGGGGGGGTGTGTGTAAAATGGCAGAATATATCTAGAATCATCTAATTTCACATAATTGTGGGACTTGTACATCAGGCACGAAGAGCAGCAACTTTTTCAGATAATTCTTCAACCTCTTCATTTTGCTCAGCAATTGCCTCTCCCTGAATAAAAATCATGTACACGATAAGATATGTTGACATGAGTAGGTGGTAAATACAGCAATTCAGCACATGCATGTTTTACATTTGGGGTACTTTCATAAATCAAGAAGCATTAATGCATCAAATATAATACTTGAAAACAGCATAATTGCTCTAGAAAGCACCATCTATCCTCGAGATCTGCTGGATACAAGTGAGAAACTATTTGGTATGCTAAAGATTCTTACATTTTTGGCCACTTTTCTGTCCCCAGTACTGTTAAAATTGCAATGACTTAAAATACATTTCAATTAACTTGAAACGTTTATGTTTTGGAAAGAGAAGCTTGTTATAAATCTCCCTTACCAATAAAATCCTCCGAAGATGATAAGAGAGTGAATTAGAAAACTACTGTTTATCAGAAAAGAGATTAGAAACAAGGCATGAAACAAGAATTCAAATTTACCTCTATATCTTTTTTCCCTTTAACTCCTATACATTTAGACGCACTGATGCTAGCACTCTTTAACAAGCTTCGACCAACAGTATTTGACCCATTTTGCACATTTCCGTTTGGATTTACCGAGCCTTCAGACTGCCTTGGAGGACTCTGAAGTGTCGTAGCAACAGAAGCTGCTGATCTCTTTTCCAAATCATCATTCTCCTTATTTGTGTCATCTTTGGCCACGGGGACCCGCTCTCTGACACGAAGAAATAGCATAATGTAAGACAAAATACAGGTATTCATAATTAAGAATTCAGGTATTCATGATTGAGACAAAATACTTTCAAATGCCCATCCAATACAGGTATTCATGATTAAGAATTCCTCCACCCCCTTAATCTTGTAGGACTTTCTATATTAGACATGTGCCTAGACATGTGCCTTAAACAATATCAGTCTTGAAAAACTCATTTGCTATTTTGCTTTTCAGTTTTACCTTCACCAAATATTTAAAAGAGCATGCACCCACTAACTGAAGATATCTTTAGATCATCAACTTTAATGAACTACTGCTGTTATACAAACTTTTGAATCCAACATGAGCAAGGTTCATATGTACACATTCAGACAAAAAACTTTTTGCAGTAGCAGTAATGCATTAGAACATTGTCGATTTAAATTTGATTGAAAAACTATTTCAGTTTAATAGCAATTATCAAGTATGTAGTCATCAAACAATTATTTATTTATTCCACCAGTCCAAGTGGTCTAAAGCAGAAGCATTTGAGAAAAAATGATAAGAAATGATACCTCTAGCATTTGACAAAGATATTTAAGAACCAAGGATGGTTACTATTTTCATCTAAAATTTCTGTTAAGCAGGAAGACACATGAAGCAGGAAATATATAAAATCAGCGAAGCGAACACATGTTGGTTTTAATCACCATATCAAGATTAATAATGGCGTTAACACTCAGACATTACAGCATGTGCAAACTTATTTGCCCAAGATATTCAACATATAGAAACAACAGCAAAAGTGACTAAAGGATAAATGGAAAAAATAATGTCTAGACTGCTCTAAACATAATTTATCAGCACAGCCTATTGTGCAGCTACTAGCCAACAAATCTATCTACCGCATACCTGGGTAAAGAAGCATGTTGCCTTTGCAGTGGAGTACTTCTTTCACCTTTACCATAATGTTCTTCTAGATGGGCAAACTGTCTCTTGAATCGATCAACACCGCTAAATTAACAGTGAATGAGAGGATATATGAGAACTCATGAATATCAAAAGAAAGTATATCGAGCTGAGTACATAGTAACAATTTATATTTCAACATAATTGAGATAAAAAGGTCTTTGCAATAGTTTTGTAGAGTGCATTTGTACACTGTATATGCAGAGGGTCAGCACTAATAAGATCTCAACAAACTAAGCAACTATTCAAACAGACACGATAGTAACAAAACTTCGCATGAGGATTTAATTAACTGAAATTACATATCAAGAACTTCAATTTACTTCAAAAGTGCGTCAACAAATTACAGATTGATCAAAACTACATATATTCCTATGACAATTCACCATGTCACAGGCTTACCACATTAAGAAAGTTAAAAAAAAATGACACGTATGCTAATTTATAGGCTAAATGTGACAGAAATTGTGACTATGCTTTGTTTTTTACTGCAGAAATAATACTTCAAAAGCAAGGGAAAAAGGTTCAATGACTTCAATGGGAGTGAAAGGATGTTTTTGGTTTTCCTGGTTCCATTTCCAGGGAAATTAGAAGGAAATAAAGTCTCAAATGTAACCATGCATAGACAGCAAAAAGAGGGCAAAATACCGAATATAATTAGAAAAGGCTCTAACCTTGGATACATGAAGCCGCTAGTTTGCTCTCCACCTCGAAGATACTCTTGAAGCATTTGTGGGTGGTACTCTAATATCTGTTCGCTCAAGACAACAACGAGAAAGATGGTTATAGTTGGCATATGTTGTAAAATACATCACAAATGCAAATGGTATTGTGCTGAAAAGACCCACCTCTCTGTAGATTAGCTCCCTAACATCATCTTTTGCCAGCTTTCTCCTCTCAAACTCAAATTCAAGCTTAGATATGGGTTGAGTGGATGGTTCACGGTCCACATTTGCTAAACCATGGAAGTATGGATCAGCCAATGCCTGTACTAGTAAAGCATCGAAAGCATAATAGTTTGTACTTAACGTTCTTCTCATGACACCTTAAAAATGATACTTTAATTACAAAGGATTTTTTGTTATAAGCATCACCTCTTCAGCTGTTGGTCTATCTTTAGGGTCAAATGCAAGCAACCGTTCTAATAGGTGAAGAGCCAACGGATCTGCATGGGGAAATTTGTGTGTAAACGGAACTGGCTGTTTTCTGCGCATGCTACTGAGATATCTTCTTGCCTTTTCATTTCTAATCTGTCATTCCATGAGAGCACAATATCAGATGGGGAAAAAAGTCCACACATTTATAAAACATGACATAAGTTTAGCAAGTAAAGAATGATTGCAAAATAAAAAAGAAAAGTGTGAAAATTACATCAGATCAAGGCAACAATACGGGCATTCACTGTGGGAAGAAAAACAGTGTGACATCTTGCAAGATAAAAACTTACCCTGGCTATTGATTCAGGTGGGGGAGTGCCGAGCAGATCCGTCATCAGGTCTAATTGATGTACCACATTTTTCCCAGGAAATAGTGGCTTCCCACTAAGCATCTCAGCAAATATGCATCCGATGCTCCAAATATCAATTGCAGGAGTATACTGCAAACAGTAAACTGTTAGCCATAGAACATAGCAGGTTGGAAACTTATGTGATGAAAACTAAAGCCAACTTTTCCAAGCACCTAAGGCTAAGACACCTTAACATTCTTTACAGTT